CTCTGAGGACCCTCTGGATCCCCTCCAGGACCATCCAGAACCACTCAAAGGCCTCCAAGAACCTCTGGAACTCCTCCAGAACTGCTCTGAGGACTCATCTGGATCCGCTCCAGGACCATCCAGAACCTCCAGAACTTCTCCAGAACCTCCAGGAGCTCCAGAACCGCTCTGAGGCCCCTCTGGATCCCTCCAGGACCATCCAGAACCTCCAGAACTTCTCCAGAACCTCTGGAACTTCTCCAGGAGCTCCAGAACTGCTCTGAGGACCCGTCTGGATCTGCTCCAGAACCTCCAGGAGCTCCAGAACTTCTCAAGAACCTCCAGAACTGCTCTGAGGACTCATCTGGATCCGCTCCAGGAGCTCCAGAACTTCTCCAGAACCTCCAGGAGCTCCAGGAGGGCTCTGAGGCCCCTCTGGGCGCCTCCAGGACCTTCCAGAACCTTCCATTCCCCTCCCCCCCGGGTCTATTTTTAGCTCACACTCTCAGAGATATTTTTTTATGAATCCTCGTCCACGGACGCCCCTGGGAACCCCCGAGCCTCCGCTCCCAAAGGGGATTATTTATTTTATTTTATTTTATTTTATTTTATTTTATTTTATTTTATTTTTATTTTATTTTATTTTTATTTTTATTTTATTTTTTATTTTATTATTTTATTTTATTTTTATTTTTATTTTTTGTGTTTTTAATATTTATTTTTTATTTTTAGTGTTTAATTTGTTATATTTTTATTTTTATAATTTTATTTTATTTCATTTTATTTTATATTGTTATTTTACTTTATTTAGATTTTATTATTTTTTGTTATTTTATTCAAGTTTTATTTTTAGTATTTAATTTAGTTTAATTTATTATATTTTAATTTTATTTTAGTATTTTATGTTATGTTATTTTTATTTTATTTCATTTCATTATTTTATTTCATTTCATTATTTTATTACGTCCTTTTATTTTTATTTTATTTTTTTATTGTATTATGTTCTTTTATTTTTTATTTCCTTTTTAAAATTTTATTATAAAATTTTTTTTATTATATTTTTATTTATATTATTATTTTTAAATTTTTTATTATATTTTTTTATTATTTTTTTTATTATAAAATTTTATTATAAAATAAAATGAAATTTTATTTTATTTCATTTCATTATTCTTATTTTATTTTATATAATTTCATTTTATTTAATCTCATTATTTTTATTTTATTTTCATTTCATTTAATTTCATTTCATTTCATTATTTTTATTTTATTTTATTTTATTTTATTTTATTTTATTTTATTTTCCTTTTATTATTTTATTTTATTTCATTTTATTTTCCTTTTATTTTTTTAAATTTTATTTTATTTTATTTTACTTTTGCCTGGAATTTTCTGGGAACTTTCCAGGTTTTTAAAATTTTTTTTAAAAATACTTTTATTTTTTAAAGATTTATTTCTGTATTTATTTGCTTATTTATTAATGTATTTTTTTCCTTATTTATTTATGTGTTTATTTATTTAATGTATTTATTTATTTATTTATTTATTTATTTATTTATTTTGTGTATTTTTAAATTTATTTCTTATTTTTATTAATTTATGTCTTTATTAATTTATATTATTTATTTATTTTGGGGGAATTTTTGTTGAAAATTTTGGGAATTTTTTGGAAGAATTTTTTTTTGGGGGAATGGGAAATTTAAAAAATATTTTGAGGTAATTTCTTAATTTTTATTTAACTTTTTTTTTAATTTTTGGGGGAATTTTTCAAGATTTTTCTTTTGTTTTCCCGGCGTTGGATCCGAGACTTTTTTTGGTAAAAAAACCACAAAAAAAAGGAAAAATAACAACAAAAAAAAAGGAAAATTCCGGGAATTTTTTTGTTTGTGAAAATCCAGCTGGGAACCCCCTCAGGATCCTGGGATTCCCAAAAAAAACCAAAAACACAAAAAAAGCTGGAATTCTTCATCGCTCCGAGGATTTGTTATAAAAATTCTTAATTTCGCAATTCCGAGTGGAT